TAGCTAATGCAAAATTGAGGCTTGCCCTGATTGGAAGGGCCTTGAGGGCCTGCCCGTTGGGGATCTGACCTGGGGCGACAACGTCGACCCCTAGACCCTTGAGGGGGCGCGGCCCCCCTAGAACCTCCACCGGAGGCCCAGTAGCAGCACCTCCAGAAGTCCCCACGGGGGATCTGGGGCTGCGCTCTACCCTGCTGCCTAAACAGCAGTTGACACCGCTGAGTAGCTGGCGTATGTATGCCCAAGAACTTCAGGGTCGACCTAGTGTCCTTTAGGGTATGGAGCCTGGAATCTGTGTGCTCCGAGAACAATGTCTTCCCTTCAAAAGGCAAGTCCTGGATAGTGTGCTGGACATCCGCGGGGATCCCCGAAACATGGAGCCACGCCCCACGGCGCATAATGACACCTGTCACCATGGTGCGGGCTGCCGAGTCCACGGTGTCCAAAGCCGCTTGGAGGGCAATTCTTGTGATGATTTTACCCTCAGAGGCCATAGCTACAAACTCCTGGCGGTCCTCCACAGGGAGTCGGTCCTTAAATTTCTCAACTGCCCGCCAGGTGTTGAAGGCGTACCTGCTCAGCATCGCCTGCTGATTAGCAATACGGAGCTGCAGAGCACCCGTAGCGTATACTTTGCGGCCCAGCAAGTCCAGCTTCCTAGGTTCCCTTGCCTTTGGTGAAGGACCGGGTTGGGGAAGCTTCTCCTTTTGGGCCGCAGCTTGCACGACCAATGAACCCAGAACGGGTTGGGAGTACAGAAAGTCATGACCCGACTGCAGGACGAAATAATGCCTCTCTACCCCTTTTTGGGTAGGAGTCAGAGTTGCTGGCGTCTGCCACAGAGCATTAGTAATTTTTGAAACCGTCTTGTTAAGTGGTAGTGCGAATCGTGCAGGGGTGTCCTCAGTGAGGATGTCTACCATCGGGTCAGTATCCTCAATTATGGGCTCGACCGGAACAGCCAGGTTGGAAGCCATGCTCCGCAGGAGGTCTCGATGCGCTCTGGGGTCCATTGATGGCAGCTCGGGCGCCGAGTCTGCCAGTGCCTCATCGGGGGAAGATGACAATGACTCCTGGACCAACAGGGGAGCCGTCGCAGTCAACTGCGGTGCCGATTGGGCGGCCCGAGCTTCTGTAGGGTCTGTTGCCGGCACCGATGGCTGCGGTGTCGCTGGGTCTTGTGGCGCCTGGAGAGGGGAGGTGGGTGCCCTAGACAGGGACGCAGAGGGAGGAGAGCGGTGCCCTGGTGCCTCCGACGCCATAGATGGTGGCGGCTGGCCCTGCCACTGATGATAGGCCCAGGGAGTCCAGAAGGGCCACTGTGGGTGTGGAAGCCGCACCTGTTGGTTGTGGTCCCTTCGGTGCCTGGATCTAGATCTGTGCGTCGAAGAAGCTCCTGAAGACCCTAAGCGTACCGACACCACATCCAAGTCCGAAGAGTAATCGGATTCCGGTCACGGGGGAGCCGACAAGGAGTGGGGCGCAAACTTGGCCATCGACTCCAGCTTGCCTGCATGCGCACGGTGCAGATGGGCCGTCTGCGGTGCCGGGGGACCCAGACCCGGTGCGGCGAACTCCGAAGGCACCAACGACTGCAGCACTGACGTGCCTAGGCCCAGTGCCAGTTGTCCAGTAAGTAACTGTGGTACCGGGGCACCCAAGCCAGGTGCCGTTTGAGGCGGCAGTTGCAGCACTGAGGTACCCAGGCTCGGTGCCGTGTACGCCATTTGCGGCCCCGAGGTGCTCAGGCTCGGTGCCGTGTACGCCATTTGTGGCCCCGAGGTGCTCAGGCTCGGTGCCGTGTACGCCAATTGCGGCACCGGGGTGCCTAGGCCGGTGTTGGCTGCGTTGCAGTAGCTACGGTACCAAGGTGCTCAAGCTCGGTGCCCATTGCGAATGGCTGAAAAAGTGGAAGTGGTGCCACCTGGGGCTGCGGTACCAGGGTGCCCAGGCCCGGTGCCGATTGCGCCGACTGCAGCTGTGGCAATGGGGTGTCCAGGCCCGGTGCCGGCTGCGCAGACTGTAGCTTCGGCACCAAGGTGTCCAGGCCTGGTGCCTGTTGCGTGGCCAATAGGTACAGCACCGAGGTGCTCAGGCTCGATGCCGACCGAGCTGTGTCCGACTGTCGCAGTACCGGGGCGCCCATGCCCGATACCGGGGTGGACCACTGAGCCAAAGCCGGTGCCGATGACGGCACGGAGACGGACGCCGACTCTTGAGAAGCCAGATAGCCTTGGGAGTATGGCACCGGTAAGGCCAAGCGGGGCTCTGGCAACTCGGAGAGCAAAGGCCTGCCATGGCTCGAGGCTCCCTGGGCATGACGACCCGGCGTCGTGAAGGAGCCCGTAGAAGCAGTGGGAGCCAAACCCAGCGTGGTTGGTCCCGACACATATGCCACTGTAGCATGCTGACCCTGGTCATGCAAGGGCGATAGCGGCGCCCTTGGGGCTTGCCCCGTGGGCGACCTTGACCCGTCCGAGTCAACCGACGACGGCGGGGAGGGGGTGAAGGTGATTT